GTGGGTGGATGTCTGATCTGAGTAGTCCTAGTAATACCTACTTTTAAATTTTTGCTTAACTTGTATGAGAAAAGGTAAACCTACTGCCCTCCTCAGTGATGCCAGAACGTGGCTGTACAGGAGCACCACGTGAAGAAAATGCAGCATGTGTTTATACTGAAATCACTGACTGGGAGAGCTCATGGTGGATGAAGCATCCACTCAGCCCCCTGGCACCCAGCTGTAGCTGTTTGTTTGTTTCAGGTATTGCCTCTCTTGCTTTGGGTTTCTGTTCCACACTCCCACCTTGATGCAGGCATCATACAGCTCTTCTGTCTTGGCCTCTGCTCCAGGATGAATATTTGAGCAGGGTTCACGGGTTTGGAGTTGCTTTCCCGCGTCACTCCTGGCTGAAGGATGAGCTGTACGGCTGCCTCCTGCTCTAGGGACGAGCAGTGCCCCGTGCCCCTCCGTTTGCTGTCTGGTCAACTTTAAGGCAAAATCAGTGTTGCACAAAAGCCCATCACCTTTTGTAGTTCATCCTCATCGCTACGGAAAATGGTAAGAGCCTTTTAGTGTAGTAAGTTGTCTGTGAGACCATGTAGGTGACCAAGCTAAGTGGGAAGCGTATCATTAAATAGAAACAAGGGCTTCAAAAGGCTGAGTGCTGAAGGGGAGTGGTGTGGCCTGCCACTGAGCAACCACTTTCAGCCGAGAACCAACTGTAGATGAAAAACAGCAAAGTGATGTGTGGATCATTTCCCCCTCTTTATTTCCACTAGAGCTAGGGTACTTGAGGAGCCGGGCTTTGCAGCTGCTGCTGACTGCACCGGGAGAACCAAGCACTGAATCTAGCACGGCTTCACCGACGTCTCTTAAGTGCTAACTTAGTGCTGCTTTTAGATGTGTAGTAGCCAAAACTACTCTTGTTGCAGCCTTACATTTTACATGTCAGAGAAAAGGAGAGACGATTATGTTTTCATTATGACTTAGGTTACCTTAAATTAATACGCTTGTACTGCAAGGAAGACAAACACAGGCTCATGATGCCAAGTTTCAGTGGAGCTCTTGCTACAGAACAAACGCTTTATTTTTGTGCATCTGCCTCATCAGGAAATCCAATCTCAAGAACCAAATTTAAGAAGTCACAAGATCAGCAAAGGTTTTTAAGACAGACCTTGCTATATGCCACTGAATCAGAAAGTCCATACTCATTAGCTGTGCCTGTCACTGCCCCTGCCTAGCCTAAAGGGTACCTATACTGCAAAAAGCGTGCACCGCAGAGTTTAAAGGCTTGCTTTGGTAACTAAATCTTGCTTGGGCTTCGCTTCTACCACTCTAGATGTTTAAATAGAAGTTCATAAACAGAAATTTAACACGCTATATAGAGTTCAAGTGTTCATGTTTCATGCTTTTAATTCTATGGATGACTATGCATCTATCCTGAGGCAATGGCTCTCAATTACTAAACACAGGCAGCTTTTCCTAAGAGATCCCTTCATTAATAAAACCAGAAGAAATGAGGCAGGTGTTAACAGGACAAAGCAAATTGTTATTGGTCCAATTTTCATGGTGTTCTGGTGTCTCTTGGCAGAGGAGCTAGACAAATTAGGGTGGTTTTGGAATGTAACCTTACTTTCTGTAGCTTAAGGGTAAGAACTCACCATTCTTCAATTTGTAATTTTATAATGAATTTAAAAAAAAAAATCCAACCAACCTGTTCCTGAAGAATGCCTTCTAAGATAAAAAGCTTCTGCAGATTTACTTTTGTATCTCACAGCAGCCTAGAGAGTTGTAGTTCCACCAGTGATTTCCAACGGTTTAAAACCTCAGTTTGCATCCTCAGGGAGCGGAAACTGCCATTTTCTCACAAGCTGACTTTCCCTCCAAGCCTCCTCATAGACGAAGCAGCTTTGGTAAAGCCCTCACCCGCCCGCTCCCCCCACCCTCAGCACACAGAACTCAGCATGGTCGCATGGGTTCCAAAAAGGAGCCGCCCTGCAAACCTGGCACACACAAGGACGGAGGGCGGCAGGCCTGACGGCAGGTGCAGGCCCTTGAGGGCATCGCCAGCCACTGCCGTGGTGTTCATGTTAGGACACGACTGTTGGTTTTTCTGAAGTTGGCTGAATGCTGCAGTTGGGTTATCGCCGACATGGGAGTACACCCATGAAACTAAAATAGCATCTAACATAGTTACCTTATGGACAGACTGGTTGGGTCCTTCTTTCCGCTGATAAAACAATGATCCTGAGCATGCGGACAGCGCAGCTCCTGCGCTTTCAAAGGAATGAAACTGGGTGTGTCGCGCTACACCCAGGATCGCCTGAAACACTGCTGCTAGTGAGTGAGTGCACCTTTTTCGTTTGGGGTGGGTTTTTTTGGATTTGTCTTTGTTATTGTGGTTTGGTTTTTTGTTGTGGTTTTTTTTTTAATATTAATATAGTTAGTATTAGACAAGTTTGTATCTATTCACAACCTGGCAGGCTCAAAAGTGACCTAGCTGCAGGGCAGCACAGAGAAGGTTATGGGGTAACTACTTTCATCTTCACCTCATGTCTCCAGGCTGCTCAGGTGCTAAGCAAAGGTTTACTGCTAGGCAAGCGTTAAGTCAGAAGACTCCACCAGTTACATGGGTAGACACTGCACCCACTGCTCGGTACACATACCTGGCTCTATTAAGCAGCTAAAGATCTCAGCCTATCTCCTGGAAGCACTTAAGCTAGCTACATCAGGCAGTTTACTGGGAGTTTTACAATTCCTGACTGTTTTTGAAAAAAAAAATAAAAATCCCCCCTGCTGGGAGCTGGCAAGACTATCTTCACGCATGACTGCTGTAACAAAAGCCTAGAACTTCAAGCCAAGTTCTCGCTAACATTCACCTTGATACTTTTCAGAACTGTTCTTTCCTGCAAGCGTCAGGTATTAAACACCAGCAGACACCCCGTACCTACAAGACCAAGCTTGTCAGGCACTCAGTCCTGCGTGGACTTAGGCCATCCTGATCGCTTTTCTTCTGTGCAGCAGTAAGAAGGAACAGAAGTTGTACATGGAGTGAGGCAGCATGTCTGTTCACCTTCAGCTGAGATACAGAAGCTGCTGCAGTCTCTCACAAGATCTAAGATTACTTTTATTGACCGTGGGAGTAAGATAAATATAACTTTTGCTCATGTTCATGGCAGGTATTTCCCAGAATGTTCACTGCTCTGCCTAAGAAGTTCCTAGAGGGTTCTGAAGTACCGAGAAATTCTGCTGAAATTAATGTCTACTTCAGCCAAAGATGTGGAAGACATTGGTGGCAGGCTAACTAAAAAAAGGTCTCAAAGTCACTCTCTTATTCTTACTCCCAAGTTCCCTTTTGCTGCTTCTTAACCTAAGTGACCAAGACAGTATCAAGTAACTAAGGAGCAAGATAGAACAGTTATTCACTATGAATTACCACTATCTTAAAGGGATTTATTTCAGCAAACATGATCACATGATGAAAATAAGTGAAAGGTAAATGCTTCATTTTGCTTTGCTGAGTTCCAGTAATCCCCAAATCAGTTTTGGAAGTCCTGAAATTGAGTTCTGAAAGTGTGCTTTGTTTTAAATAAACCAAAGATATCTGCTATGAAAAAAAAATAATGTATACGTTTTTATGTTACGTTTATAACAAGGCTTTTAAAGAAAATAGTTACAAGTATTCAACTGCATCAGACTTCAAAAGAAAAGAAGATTACACATACAATACAAAAATACAAAAAAAATATTTTTCAGAACTTACAAACTCAAAAGTCTAAGTGGTCAGAGCTTTCCTAAAATAATAATAATAAAAAAACACTTCAAGATGCACTTTCCTTTCTGCACTCATAGGTTCAACTTTAGCATGAAAACAGGTTTTAGAGGCAGGATGAGATCAATTAACATATTGAACTATATGAACAGTTCAAGGCTTAAATTAATTTAGTGGTCAACACTATCAGGTATTTGAGTTTAAAAAGAAACTCATGTTTGTTTGTTTGGGAGGAGAGGGGTGTTGCTGTTGATAACTTTCGATTTAACTAGTTCTGTTAGTAAAATGTTTTAAAAATATGCAATCCAAATTAGACTGAAATTTAGGCAGCCATCACTAGGTTTGAAATCCTACAGCACTGTGGTCTGAAAGCCAGGAAATTAAACTGACCAGACTAATGGTGTTGTTGAAAATTACTGCAAAAGGCAGACAGGTAGGAAAAGGCCAAGTTTTATTTCTCAAGTTGACGCTTGTTAGAAGCACTAGCACTGCAAACAGGCTATTTCTTCTTTAACCTGATAGTGTCCACTGAGGTCACCGGCATCAAAGTGTTCTGTTTTAAATGGCAAGACAGGGAAAGTGCATCTTAGATTTTTTCATACTTAAGCAGTGAGTTACCAATTTTTGGTGTGGCTTTTATTCCTTCTAGGCATAGTAAAGAAAAATATTTCAACCAAATGTGAAGCTTAATGTACATTAGCTTGTCTTTTTGGTGGTAGCTTTTGTGTACCACAAGGAAATGCTAACAAGCACTACTCAAGGCTAATGATTTAAGAGGAGCACACGGAAAATACCAATTTACCTTTGTAGTGAATATTCTTTACAGACTGTATCTAATATACAGACAAGGCCCATTTCCTTAGGATAGAATAGGCCACAGAAGGTTACACAGCCTACATGAAGTTTTAAACAAAAGTAGAGCTAAGTTACCAGAGCCACTCAGAGCAACGTAATTCCTAGTTTGCAGAGACTTAACAAAAAGTGACTGCAGGGAGAAAGAAAAATCCAGGTTCTTTATTTCCTGCGTAAGTTTAGATTCAATTTAATAGTCCAGTAACACTTCTAGAACAAGACAGTGCTTGTTCTCTTTAGCAGTATTTCTAGGAGTCAACTGTTTCTCCTGCGATGAAGAGGGAGCCAGAAGCGAGAATGCGAGAGCATTCACTGTTAACCTGATTAAAGAGACAGTAACCTTTTTCATCCACCTTAATCACTGACCCCCCCAAAAATAAATCTTAAAAAGGTACCACTCCAATTTCTTTATTATCTGTAACCTTTTGAAACTAATCACATGGAACTACAAAATTAGCAAATGCCTTGAAATCTGTATACAAAACATAAATTACCTCTAATTTCAAACTCAGTTATTAGTGTACCACTCAAAAGCTTAAAAAAGTGGCTCCAAAGATAGTCTTATACCATTCTTAAAAAAGGAAACTGTTCCTTTAATGTTACACCCTCCCCTCCCCCCCAACACCCAACTCTCAATCCACTTTCTTTAGTTATTTTCTTGGTCATGGACATTTCCAAGATGAGATTTTATATTTCGTTCCCATAGCTTCTGGTTGTCAGAAAAACCATGCTTTCCTTTATTGAAGGAATTTGGTCCTGCTGAGGTCGGTGTATCCCTGTGAAAAGTAAAACAAGACCAGCTGAGAAAGTCGTCTCAGCTGTAGCAGTTTGTGCAACATGACACTCAAGACACCAATTTCAAGTCCAAACTGGCACCAGAAACTACCCCACATTTCTTTCCCTTACATCAGGATACCTCACTGTCAGCAACTGCAATTTGGCCACAGAACTGTTCTCTCTGTAGCACATCAAGAGAGAGCAATGAGATGCTGCAGCAGAGGAGCTGGGACTGGCAGGAACTGCTGCCACCCGTGAAGGATTTGTTGCGAGGGCTACAAAACCAAGGACCCAAATTTGCTACGGGAGGAAAAACCCCACTGAACAGCAGTGAGCCTCCAGGGGACTGACTTTAAAAGCAGTCTATCAAGACAAATGTCTTTAAAATGTATATTCTCAAAATTCATCCACAAGTGAAGCCTCCCTGAAAACGTCCTTATGCTGTCTCAAATTTGTGGCTAGTAAAAGAATCATACATATTTGTTTTAAAAGTAAACAGCTAATTCTTTGTCTCTCTGAAAGAGATGATTCTCATTTTGTCCTTGGACAGGAGATTAAAAATCTGAACAGGCTACCCTACTTTGAGTCAATTTATAAAACAGAGAACTAGAAAGATAAGGTTTAGCAACAAGGAGGAACTCTCACCTATCACCCTTCCAAGAAGAAAACGAGCTCCTATTTAAAACAGAATCAATTTTTTCCTCTGAAAGAAGGCAATTAAGATTCGAAGCGCAAATGTAACTGTACTACTTTTAACTTACAGCTGAAACATCTGAAAATATCTGTATTATTTTTCTCTTGTTTCTGGAAAAAGGCTTTCTGAACCTGTTCTATCTTCCTGTATTTCTAAACCATCTGCAAGTTCTGACCTGTGCTGGCAGAGGTATTTTCAAGCACTCGTCCTTCTCCAAACCACAGTTAAAAGCTGACCTACCTTCCAATGTTCTTCATGCGCATCTTGGCTTCTGGAGGCATTTCTTCTGGTTCGCTCTACAGAGAGAAAGGAGGTTAGAGTGTGGCTGAGTGCTACCTTTTGAACATTTCAAACACCTGAAAAGATAAAGTATGGACTACAGCACTACAGGAAAGAAAAGTGGTTTAAGATAAAACAGAGGTTCTACAAGGTTATAGAAAGAAACAGAAATTGCTTTGTTGACCTCCGTGTAAGAGGGAGCAGTAACATAACAAGAAAATATTTAGCAAGTGAGAAGCAGCACAACTTTTCCTTGCCTACCCATTATCAAGCCCATAGAAAGCAGCCATTTAGTAAAATTATGTTGTGTATCTCATTCAGGTAAAAGTCACCAGCAGTTTAACGATTTCTTGAACCAACAGAGAGTGACAAAGTTATACGTTCTTAAAGAGAAACACAAGAGATGTTTCTGGGTTGAAAATCCCTGATATTTATATAAAGAACCTTAAACGACCCACTCTGCCTAATCTAACCCACACGAATGGTACTTGGAGTTGTGTTATGGTACTTCAAGTCTTGTTGATCATTGACTTATTACTCACATCTTCATCTTCATTGAAAGCTGCTGCTACAGAAAGCGTTTTTGGAGCAAGGGTTGGAACAGGCTCTTTAGGCTTCTGAAAAAGACCAAGCATACAAGTAAAGTGAGTCTACTCATTCAAAAAAGCTACCCTTGGCATTTTCAGTATTCTGGTAAAATGAAGTGAAACATCTTCACTGAAATGGGCAATGATGGGGAAAAGTGTTTCTACTTGAATCAAGCAGCTAAAGGTTTCTCTCTGATGAGAAAGAGGAACAGCTGCTCATCTGTACTAGATACACTCTGAAAAGCAAGCTGTGTCCTCTCGTATTACGATTTCCCACAAACAAGTCTTAACTTTCTAGCACACTGCAGGGGTATGCAGCCCCTGGTGAATGCGTGAACAACTAAATCGGAACGTGACTAAGCTGTTGTATTTGAAATTTTACTGTGTCACTGTTTCCATTATTCTTTTAGAGTATTCTTGTCCATCAATGCCAGGAAGATGAATATGTTTGTTTTCTTGTCTTTTAACAAGGTAACTCTGGCTTAAAACAATTCAATACTTTAAAGTAGCATCAGTGTGCATAACACAGTTCAATTACTATAAGGCTCCTTTAAAAAGTATTATTTTGACTGTCAGTAAATTCCTTCTTTCATTGAAAGTAGCTATCAAAGTCAGAACTGGTACGTGTAATAAAGCACGGATACCGAAAGTAGCTTTGACACCACTACGAAAGCACTGAGTCATCACCAACAGTTTCCTTCTAGAGTGGTACCAATTATCTAAATCAATCATACCCAGTGCTTCCTCCATTTTGACTTTACTGGTCATTATTTCACACATGCTCACAGTTTCGCAGTTGATACTGCAGCACAGTCCTTATGCAACTGTCTACAGCTATTCCTCACCGGCAGTGTTTAATGTAAAAATATTGTGCCATTTTTTTTCAAGCATCAGCTCCACAGGAATGGATAACATACCAAAGGAGTAAAAATTACTAAAAAAAAAACAGTATAAGTTTCAGCACTGTCCAATCCAGTGCACTGTCAGTCACTCACTAAATTCAGTGAGCCAGAAATCCTGAGCCAAATTTATACTGGAAGCAGCTCTCCACATGAGAAATCTGAACTTGCTAGCAGCTCAGAGAAGGCAGCTTTGTCAATTTTTCCAAACTCTGAGCTGAACTGATTTCATTTATGTATCCTAGAACCCTGCCAGCACACATCTCCCTCCCATCTCAAAATAACAGAGCACCTTTTTCAGCTTTTGCAGATCTGTAAAACACTGACATTGCAGGTGCGAGCCTGTCACAATTACAGTTTGAATTTAATCCAGACAAGAATTTATAATGTATTCATCACAGTGGGACTTGGGAAGTGTAAACAAACTGTATTAAATAGAGAGGCAGCATCTGGCTTGTCATTGCCCAAGCTAACAGAGGACTACTTTGGCAGTAAAGAGAAACATCAGACTGACACCTGAACAAGGACAAGGATACCTCTTATTGGACAATGAAGGGGATCAGAACTCTTTGAAACACATGTAACGAAGCCCCATCTCTTGCATATAGCATAAATGAATCATACTGACCTTGCGAGGAACAGGCAAAGTCATGAAGAATATACTGTGCTTTCCCATGCTAAAATGAGGTCTTCAGAGTGGAAGACGACCTATTAGGGCATCTAGGAGAGTACTTGCCTTGTAGCTTTAAGCATCCTATGCAGTGAAGCTCCCAGCACTCATCTCAAAGCAGCCTGAAGAGTTTTAAAAGGCTGCTCATTTCCCTCAGGAAATTATTCCAGTCTTATCAAATCTCCTGGCAAAACTATTCTGCATGGTCAAAGATCTACAGTTCCCTTCAGTCAAGTTTTATGCTTCCTGACACAACTGACCTGGTATTAATCACCTTGAAGTGCTTACACACGCACAGCTAGGTGGCCCTGCAATGCTTTCTTAAACTTTACCAAGGATATCCTCAAGTAATTCAAGGCTTTCCTTCTGCAAGGCAACCTCCCCAAAGTACTTCCCCCCTTTGCCTCCTCACTTTCCCTAAAATTCAAAGCTCTTAAAAAACTTACATTTGCTCCTAGTTTGATGGATATTGCAGTTGCCTTCTTTGCTGTCTGACTGCCTATGGAAAATCCAAACTTGGACATTTTGGCAGGAGCAGGCTTTGTGGTGAAGTCTTCAGCTTCTTCATTAGCTGCCCGTTTCTCTGCGCTGCGACTCGAACTTTCTCCTCCATTACTGGAAGAAACAGTCTTAGTTTTCACAGGTTTTTCTGCCTCTTCTTCAGGTCCTGGTGAAGTCGAAACAACTTACCAAGATGAGCTATTTTTACTGAGCAGACTGATGGGAGCAGCAACCTCAAAAAGCATTATACTTTGGGTGCAATAGGTAAGGTGGTTTTAGTGACAGCAGTTTCCACCAAGGTACATTTAGCAGACAGCAAAACACAAAGAGGAGAAGAAACTGCAAACACTCCACTACTTGTAAAGAACTTCTTGTGTATGAGCCAGGAAAACAATCTTGAAGCACCATCTCTTTATTTAGCATGGAAGTCAAAGTTCATGTAGTAAATTAAATGCAGGTGACTAAATCTTTTTAGGGTTTAAGTTGCCACAGATAAGCTTTCATAACTGGAATCCCAATTCCAAATCTAGAGTAGATAATCTAAGTTAAAATTAATTCTACCAAATTTCTACACAAACATGTCCACGCCAGTCTCTAGGCTTCTCTGGCACAACTCTAAAATCATGGAAGTGACTACAGTGAGGCCGCTGTCTCAATTATGTTTCAAGTCACTGCTTGTCCACATCTCATGTGTAATAAATCTGCCAAGCTCTGCTTGAGGAAGGAATCAGCACTATTAAAACATATATAGCGAGATTTCACTTTTTCTGGTTTTGTATAAAGACATGGCAAACACAGCAGCTAAACAATGACCCAGAGAGAAAAAACACTCAAATCACATTTTTGTTCCTGTATGCTCAGCTTCTTCAGCTACACCAAGAGACAAAGGCATCCTTGGAAAACTCATACTGAACATAGTAAATGCTTCAGGAAAAAAATATATTTCTCTGCTGCTGCAATAAGCAAATCACTGCAGTAGTAGAAGGAAATAATAAAAAAAAACAACCACCCATTGGGAAACAGACAGGGAAGTGCTCATACTGTTGGTCTAAAAAACCTGGAGATCGCACTAGTTCATCATTTTATCAAGCAGAGAACAGGACCCTCCATGTACAGCAAATTCAGACCATCAGGGAAGAAAGCTCTTTGCACTGCTCTCTAATAGCAAAAAGCTATTAAGAAAGAGCAATGGGAGAGAAGTTCGTCTGAACCGGGGGTCAAGAGGATTGTAGCTCTGAGAAAAAAAAGGAAGCAAACAATATCAGGAGAAAGAAAAACTAGGGACACCACCTATATATATTTTCCTCCTATTTCTCAAATCAAAAGCAGCAGAATGTACCCTTTCTACTTCATTCTTCTAAAGTGATTGAAACAAAAATGCATTTATTATTCACCTTCAGAAACACTGCAGGTTATTAAGAAAAAATAAAATTCATAACTTTGATCCATTTCACGCTATTAAAAATGGTGCTAATCTGCACCACTACAAAAGCGACCCAGAAAATACACATATAAAAGTGACAAACAGAGGAGGAAAGAGAAATAAGCAAAATTTACACAAGTGACCTTGGGTACTCCTTGCTGTCTTAGCAGCAGCCTGCAAGGCTATGAGATGCTCCTTACAACTAGCCCATGAAATCACACTAAACAGAATATTCAATTACAAGTCCAGTCTAGGTAGATGAGAGACTGTAAGATGATCCAAGGGGAGGCAGAAGATTCACTGGCCTTAGAAGTGTTGGAACCGTGGGAGTAAAAAAGTCTTTCGTAAGTCTTTCGCAGCAGCCCAAATCTCGGGGCACCCTGGACCAGTCCAAGTTCCTAACCTAATGCCAGCTTGAAGCTGACTACACTACAACTTACTTCTTTGACTACAAATTCTAGAATTTTGCTAAGCCTGAGATGAAGCCTAGGCACAATCTACCCACATCTGTTTTCTCACCAAAATATTAAACAGCTTATCTCTCAGAACTAGCTCCCGTCACCACTGCACTGTGAATGTTACTTCTGCTAGGCTCCGCTTACGACAAACTGCAGACTGCTGAAAGAAATACTCCTACTTATCGAAGAAGCTATAAAGGGCGTAGGACAATTGGGGTAGGTGGGGAGGGAGCTGGGGTGCTGTTCTATTTCTGCTGGAAACAGAAATGCAGATGTATCCATTAAACGGGTCTCTCCCATCTCCCACGCCACTACATCCATATTTTTCAAGGCATTAAGGCCTCTCCACTATTTCTTAGAGAGGTCAAGGAGATCATACTTCACCTACAGAAAGCACCAGTACTATTCCAAAAACTAGCCTGCCCAGTGCTCTTTTCACAGATCACTGTAAGAAAAAAGCTGTCCTACTTCCCCAATGAGTCTTTCTCATGAGTATCAACAAGCTATGTGAGTGGACAACTTCTACCACCCAGGTGCAAGACCGACAGTGCTAGTTGCACTCAGGATCTCTCGCCCATGAGAGGGTGACCGTTGGTGGGAACAAACCAGCCACAACTCAGGTAACTTTAAGGTAAAAGGCTGGACGTGACACTTAGTGCCGTGATCTGGCCGATGTGATGGTGTTGGATCATGGGCTGGACTTGATCTCAGAGGTCTTTTCCAGCCTCAACAATTCTGTGATTCTGGGTAAACTCTGCTGATCTTGGCAAAAGTTGAAGACTCTAAACTGTTTTCAGAAATCATGTTCCAGGACACCAAACAGTACATGGGACAGTATGGATAACTGACATACTGATGCAATCCAAAAAACCCCAAACCACCCAAAACCCCAACTAACCAAAAAAGATCCCACAAAACCCACCAGAGAACCAAGAGTCAAGAAACTGCCTAAAATCAAGCATTACTGTTCATATTTTAGTGATTATGAGAAATAACATTCACTGTCGAGTCTATCCTAATTGGTGTGCAAGCTGCCTACAGACATATTTAACCAGACCAAAACCAAACCAAAAACAGGAAAGAGAAGGGAAGCTTTATATTTGCAAATATGCTGTTTTCTCAACTTTGAGTCAGAGGAAGAAAGAAGGAAAGAAACACATGATTAAAAATTTTAGGAGAACTGTTAAAGTAATACAGAAGATGATATGAGAGTCTAGTTATAATATAAATATCTAAAAAAAATCAGAAAACTTCCAGATTGCTGCCAAGCAAAAAAACCTGGATGGTTAAAACAGCAGATAAAGAATATTCACTATTGTAGCTATTTTTAAAAGGTACCAAAGCTGCTGGAAGACGACCTTTTAGGCGCTGCCTTCATCCTTGCCAGCAGCAAAAGCCAAATTTCTCTCAAAATTCTCTCAATACACGTCAGAAGCATTCTGTATGTTTTTTACGGCGAGAGAGAAATAACGCATTTACATGGGCAAGAAGAAGCTGTCAGGTATTTAAAAGATCTCACGTAAGGCCGAGGCTAATCCTCGGGCGTGAGCAGAGCGGGCCCAGGCCTCGGACTCTCCTCCAGCGCAGCCCACTCAGGCCC